AGCCAGCAGCACATGCTCCCTAGTCTGCGGCATGGGCCCATCCGGCGCAGAGACCACCAACACCCCCCCAACAGCAGCAGCACCACCACCACGACCACCAAACAGCAGCAGCAGCAGCAAACAGCAGCCCCCCCACCAAACAGCAGCAGCAGCAGCAGCAGCAGCAGCAGCAGACCTGTTTGGCCAGCAGCACGTGCTCCCTGGTCTGCGGCATGGGCCCATCCGGCGCAGAGACCACCAACACCCCCCCAGCAGCAGCACCACCACCAAACAGCAGCAGCAGCAAACAGCAGCACCCCCACCCCCACCGCCACCAAGCAGCAGCAGCAGCAGCAGCAGCAGCAGCAGCAGCAGCAGCAGCAGACCTGTTTGGCGAGCAGCACGTGCTCCCTGGTCTGCGGCATGGGCCCGTCCGGCGCAGAGACCACCAAGACCCCCCCGTCCATCTGGGCCGCGCCCGTTATCATATTTTTGACGAAGTCCGCGTGGCCGGGGCAGTCGAGGTGGGCGTAGTGGCGGCGGGCGGTGGCGAACTCGACGGTGGCCGCGCGGATGGTGATGCCGCGGCGGCGCTCTTCGGGGGCGGCGTCGATCGCGGCGTAGGGGCGGAAGGCGGCGAGGCCCTGGGCCGCGAGCGCCCGCGTGATCGCCGAAGTGAGCGTTGTCTTGCCGTGGTCCACGTGACCAATGGTCCCCACGTTCACGTGCGGCTTCGAGCGTTCGAACGAGCCGCTCGCCAGCCACCGACGCGCCAAACTGCTGCTGCTGCTGCTGCTGCTGCTGCTGCAGCGCAGCGGCTGCAGCGCACGCAGCCAGCAGCCGACGCGGAGGCCGCGCAACGCACTCGCAGCACTCATTCTCCGCTGGGGGCAACACGAGAAAAAGTTTTGCGGAAAACACCCAAAAATTCAGCCAGCCACGCAGCCTGCATGCACGCCGCATGCAGCGCAGCTGCAGCAGCAGCCGCTGCAGCAGCAGGCACTCAGCCCCACCCACCCCCCGCGCCGCCGCTAAGTCGACGTTCTTTCGAGTCCAAACGTAAACTCGAGTCCAAAGGAACGGAGTTTGCAAGTCGAAGCGCTTTGCCTTCCCATTTGCTGCTGCAGCGGCGAATCTGCACGGCCCGACGGCCGCTCGCCGCTGAGCTGAAAGCTGCTGCTGCTGCTCCTTCTCTTTGGCTGCAAATTTGAGAAGTGGGAAACCGGCAAATTCAAACGAAAAAGAAAAGCTCAAGCGGCGCGGCCATCCGGCCATCCTCCGACGCGCTGCTGCGCTTCCTGCTGCTGCAGTGCAGCTTCGCCGCCTGTTGCTTCGGCCGCGGCCTGACAAAGTGAAGGCTGCTGCTGCTTTCTCTGCTGCAGATCTGCCAGCCTAAGGAGCTGCCACCAAGTACCAACTGCCGCACTACTTTCCCCTCACGTGTTCCCCCACATCCGCCGCGGGCTGAACTCTTCGCTTTTGTGCAAAACGCACGCACAGGCGGATTTGTGCAAAAGCGACCAACAGAGCCGCCGCTGCTGCGAAGGCTGCAACAGCACATTCAGTCGAGACATTCTACATCGCCGCGCACTACAAACAGCAACGAGCTGCACGACTGCCAAACCCTCCGCTGGGATCACGCAGAGCACTGCAGAGCGTAATCGATACATCTGCGCCTTCAAGTTCAGAACTCATGAACAAATGCAACGGACATCGGAAAAATGTATCGACAATGTCAGTTCAGCATGAGTAGTACTCTTCTTTGAGAAAGCGCGCACTGGAGCACTGGATAAAGTATGGATATATATTTTGTAGTTTACAACGTGCCAGTCCTCCTTTCCGTAGTAATGCCAGGAAAGCCGCCACGAAACATCAATTAGCTAGCGCAACAAATGGCAGGCTTGCTTTTGAAGGAACCGAGGTTCGTAGTTCATTAAATGGAAGGAAACGTCATCCCGTAGAATAATAAATTCCGAATTCATGAATGGCGTATTTGGAGGAAGGCGGTTTCTCTGCACAGTACGCGATAACCCTTCCTTCCCATGCCTCACTGAAGAAGCAAGGAAGAAAAAAACCCACACCTTCTACTCCCACACACTTTGAATCACCCGAACCAGTATCGCGGCTTAGTGTTCAGTTGAGCTACAGATAATGTGCGGAACACGTTTCAGAGCGTGCAGTGATGGTGTCTGGCAGATGCAGTTAGACACTATGGATTCACCTGCAAATAAGTGTTGAACGGTTGTGTCTGCACTGCGGACGCTAGGGAGAAGCTGAAGTCGCTGAACATATTTTCATATCACGGCCTGAGACTTGGTGGACGTTCTCGTGCAGCGGGAAGGCAACGGAAAGATGAACTATTACGAGAATTAGCAGCGGGTGAAGAGAGGGATCTTCAAGTTGACTTGTCTCTCTCACAGCGAACATTCATATTTGAAAAGCGTTCAATGGGTTTTCTAGTTGTGGCCACTTGGCGCTCTACGGAGCGTCTAATGAGAGGCAAGAGTGGCCTTTGGGTAGACAGGTATGCGCTGCGCAGTGCAGGCGAAGCGTAACGAGCACAAATGCAAGAGGCTCGTGAAAAGAGAAGGGTTGCTTTGACCAGGGCTTTCCGAGGCCAAGGCGACGAGTGAACCTGCCGAAGGCTAGAGCCTTACGGCTGCGGTTGTGGGTGTCAGCGCGAAGATGCCGCTCCTCGGGCGACTGCGCCGCGGTGGAGGCTGGAGCGCATAGCAGCAAGCGCGGAGGGGTTGGGGTCGCGGACTCAGAAGCGGTGGGTGAAGTCAGTGAACTTCTGGTTGAGCTCCATGGAGGCGACGGCGTGGACAACAGGCTCGAGGACGGAGCGGACGCGCTGGCGCAGCGTTTCGTAGGCGCCGGAGAGGTCGCTGAACTCAGTGAGGTCCTGGATGGTCTTGCCGGGGGAAATGTCTTGAATGCGAATGGCCTTGAGCTGGTCCAGCTTGGCAGAGACGTCGAAGGTGGAGGCGAGGAGCTCGTAAATGCGGTCCATCGGCAGCATGTCCTTGACGGACTTGGTGTACCCCGCGACGGTCTCCTGGATGCTCGAACTGCCTTCGCTCAGCGACTCCGCCAGGTTCTTGGGCCGCACGCTATCGACCACGTGGGACACTACGTGGTTCGTGATGTCCACTTTGGAGTACGACTCCACCGTGGCTTGCAGCGCGACGAAGCGCGCCGACAACTCGTCCCGCGACTTGCTCGCCAAGTCCGACAGCCCCTCCATGATCTGCTGCGGGTTCTGCGACGTGAACTTGTCGAGGGTGCTTCTTGAAGCGTCCAGCATCTTCGCGTGGCTTGCGTGGGGGCACAGTGTTCAACACGGTAGCGGCGGCTCGCGAACTTGACTGAACTCGCAATTGTGAGAGTTGCCAACAGTGTTTGCGTGGGCCAAACTCGCTTACCTATATCGATGTCGTCAGTGAACACTCACGTACTCGCACTGCTGTAGATTCATCTGTTCGGCAAATAGTGATCGTCGGACGAGCCTCTGAGCGCTGCGGTGTCTGGACACCCCGCCACTCGCGCTCCGGAACTGTGCCTACACCACGCGTCCGCGGCTTTGCCGGCACGTCCCGGAAAACAGTCCAGAAAACTGCAACTAACAGTGAAACGCCTCAGTCTAGGCAGCTTTCTAGTCCGAAAACATCTCCGTCACACCTATTCGCTCAAGTTTCCCTACCGCCGGTCCCCGCGCGGACGCGTCACTAGACTTGTCTGTTGTACAGTCTCAGCCACTCGTAGAATACTGCACTTACTTCGCTACTTAAACACCTATACCTAAAACTGTAGGATTTCAGTAATTCTCTGGTGCAGAGTTTCCCGCTAGCCTTCTGGCAGTTGTCGCACAGTGGTCCAATGGTCCAGTTTGTTGGCGCCACTGATAAGGGGTGATCTGCAGGGAAAGCAGATAAGGGATTGCCTGAAACCCCTTCAAATACATTAATTTTGCAAAAGTTTTGATTACTGAGGAGAACCGACGGAAATTATGGAGAAACACACAAGTATCTCGTACGCCCGTACACGATGGCGCCACCAAGCCTCTCTGGGGAGGACTGCATGCAGTCCAGCAGGCATTTCGCGAATTTCCGTGGGCCTTTTGCAGTCGTTCGAAGGGAATTTCTGATGGCCAGGCATGAAAAAGCTGCATAAGAAGTGTCTGAAGGCTGATTGGAAGCCCGTGCGCGCGGGTTAGGAAGCCGCGAGATGATATCCCCGAGGCAACTTGAATACTTGATGACCGAGTGGGTAACGGCGTCTTTGGAAGCAATAATTGCGCACCGGCTCTTCCCCTTGATCGGCTCGCCTTCTGGAAAGCGGGTGAACGTGCTTTGCCCGACGCACGCGTGGGGTGAGCTGGAGCTGGCCCTTTCAAGCGGCCCGGGCGCGTCGGAGTGGGAGGCGACTGGCGGAGAAGGAGTCGGGAGCGCTGCGGGGCAGTGCAGCCGGAGCTGCGGGAGGCCGCTGCGGAGCGCGTGTCAGTTTTCCGCGGAGTTCTCTCCGGAGTCGGCGCGGCACTTCCGCGTGGAGGTGCCGCAGCTCGAAAGCCTGCGGACGGCGCTTCTGTGCGACCCCAAGTTCAGCTTGCAGCGCTGCTGGCAAATCCGAGTGGCAGTGGGGCTGCGGCTGCCGGGGGCGCGCGGGGCCTCGCGGGCGAACTCGGAGAGCGGCTTCGAAGACGCGGACGCGGGCGAGGGGGCCCCGGCCCTGCGGCTGTGGGGAGGCGAGGGCGGCTCGCGCAGCGGCGGCCGCGGCAGCCAGCAGCTGCTGCGGCCAGCAGCTGCTGCAGCAGCTGCTGCAGCAGCAGCAGCGGAGGAGGGCCCCGCGGGCCTCTGTCTCGAGCAGTGGGTCCTCAGCTTCCAGCCCCTCTCCTCCCCCGAGCTGCACTCCAAGTTCGAACTCCGCAAGCTTTGCACTGCCCTCAAGGGGCTGCTCGCTGCTCTTCACTTCCTGCCCGCCCACTCCGCCCTGCTGGCCCTCGCCGCTGCGAGGGCCCGGCCCGGCCCTTTGCTGCAGCCCGGGCCTTGCGTCGAAGCTGCAGTCAGCGCCAGATGGACGGGCAAAGCAGCAGCAGCAGCAGCAGCAGCGGCCCGCCGCGGCAGAGGCTCGGCAGCAGCTGCAGCGCCCTGGCAGCCGCTCGCGTCTTACAAGTCCGACTTGGAGGACTCCCTGGCTTGTCTGCTTTCCGGCGAAGAGCCGCGGGGGAACTTCCCCGAATTCCTGGCCCCCAGCAGCAGCCCGGCTTCGACTCCCCACAGAAGCTCACCCCTGCCGGCTCCTGCTGCTGCTGCTGCTGCTGCTGCTGCTGCCCTCCGCAGCGCCTTTCCCCTGGGACCGCTCGCTCAGGGCCAGGGCCGCGCGGCCGCGCTCAGCAGCAGCAGCGCAGCAGCTGCTCCAAACGCTCTTCTGTGCTGCAGCAGCAGCAGCAGCAGCAGCAGCGGCGGCGGCGGCGGCGGGCTGGCCAGGGGAGAGGCGGAGGCCGCGGGAAGCCTCGCGCCTTACTCTGAAGACGCGGCGCTGCTCTGCAGCACGGCCCCCGTCTTCAAGCCCCGACGCCGGCGCAAGCAGCAGCAGCAGCAGCAGCAGCAGGAGCCGCAGCCGCAGCAGCGGGCGGGTGGAGCTGAAGGCGAGGGGGCGTCGTGTGGGCCTTGGGGCAGCAGCAGCAGCGCGAGCTGGGGACGCAGCAGCAGCAGCAGCAGCAGCAGATTGGAAAGCCGGGAGCTGCTGAAGCTGCAGACGTTTTTGGGGGTTTTGGAGTGCAGCGTGAAGTTCGACGAAGAGCTGGCGCAGCAGCTGGAGGGCGCAGCAGCAGCGCTGGAAGCTGCTGCTGGCGGCCTCGAGGGCTTTCAGTCTTTGGCGGAAAGAAGTTTCAAAGAAGTTCTGAATGAAGGAGGGGCTTCGCTTTCGGACTCGGACATTTGGCTGGAGATGAGCTGTCCGTACACCCCGCTGGAGGCCGCGGCTGCGCGCCCGCTCGAGCGGGCCGCCGCGGGGTCGCAAGCAGCAGCAGCAGCAGCAGCAGCAGCAGCGGGGCAGCAGTTTGCTGCTGCAGGCGCCCGAGACCCGAGAGCTGCTGCAGCAAAGGGAGTTGCTGCTGGCATTTGGCAGGCGCTGCTGCAGCGGCCTGCTGTCAAGCGGGCCTACCGGCTTGCTGCTTTGCCGGTCTACGGGTTGGGGCTGGGGCCTTTTCTGGAGAAGTGTCCTCCGCGGGGCCTTCTCAAGATTCCCGCTGCTGCTGCTGCTGCTGCTGCAGCAGCAGCAGCAGCAGCAGCTGCAGGGGGCCTGCTCAGCAAGCGGGGCGAGGGGAGCGGCGCGGGGCGCCCCGGCGGGCTTCCCCACGGGGGGCTTCCGGAGGCAGCAGCGCCTCCTCTGGCGCAGCCCCGCAGCAGCAGCAGCAGCAGCAGCAGCAGCAGGAGCGGGGGGCGGGGCGGGGCGGAGAGGGGGGCCGACGCGCGGGGCGACGGGCTGCTGTCGGAGAGCGAGTTCAACAATTTGGACGAAGAGCTGCTGGCAGCAGAAGGCGAGGAAGAGATGTTGGAAGAAGAAATGAATTCTGAAGACCGGCTGCTGCGCGAAGACGCGGAGTTCAGCAGCTTGTGGCTCGACAGCAGCAGCAGCAGCAGCAGCAGCAGCAGCTGTCTGTACGCCGCAGCTGCGCGCGCGCAGGCCCCGCGGCTCTCCGCGCCCCCCGCTGCCGCTGCTGCTGCTGCTGCTGCTGCTGCTGCTGCTGAGCACTGCAGCGCGACTCGGAAGCCTCCGCCGAGTCCGCAGGAGCTGCAGCAAATTCGAGAAAGCCTCCGCAGCTTTTTGGCTTCTCCCGCTGCAGCAGCCATCTTGCAGCCCCTGGGGGAGTTGGCCGCGGCGTTACAGTCGCTGGAGGCTGCTGCGCGGGCCGGCCTTTTCGGCTTTGCAGGCGAAGAGGGCGGGGCGGGAAATGCCGCACTTTTGGAGGCAAAAGACTCCAAAAAAGGGCCTTTTGGAGCGCCAAAGGCCCCTTTTTCGGAAACAAAGGACAGCTTTCCAGGCCCCCAAAGGGCCCCCTCTTGCTGCGGACTGCCGCGCCGCGTTTGCTGTGCTGCTGCTGCTGCGGCTGCGGAGAAACTCGAGCAGCGGGCGCTGCGGGAGCTGGCGCTTTCCGAGCTCGACGTGGAGATCTTTGGCTTCGGCAGCAGCGAGCTGGAGGCCCAAAAGGAGGAAACGTTCGGAAAAAAAGACAAAGGGGGAGGCGGAATAAGCGGGTCTTCTTCGAATCCGGAAAAGCTGCAACGCGCCAGCTCGATCCGGCCCGTGGGTGAGAGCTCTTGGCAGCAAAGTGCCTTCTTTTCGCGAAACACGGAGGCAGTTGCTTTTATTTATTCATTATTACTTCTGCCAGGCCTTTGGAGTGCTTTGTTCCGGCGCCAGACACTTGCAATTTGCTGCTTTCCAGTTCTGCATGTTGGGGTCTTCGCGGGGAGAGGTGCCTGTACACCTGGACTTGCGCTCATTTGCACTTTTGTTGCACGCGAATGCAGAGGGCTGATCGCGCAGTTTTGTTGCTGAAAAGGGGATTTAAAGGTGAATTCAAGAAAGGCCTTTTGTTGTTGCTGTTGTTCTGTCTTTTTCCTCTTCTTTGCAGCTCCTTATTGTCTGCTTCCCGCGGAATCTCTGGAGCCCAGCGCTGCTGCGGAGGAGGACTTGTCTTTTTCTCTTTTCGACGAAACTCTTTGCGGCATTTCTGCGGAGAAGCTGGAGCTGCTGCTGCAGGAAGAAAGCGAATGCAGTTCCACTCCCGGCGAGTTCGTGCAGCAGCAGCAAGGCGCAGCTGCTGCAGCAACTGCAGCAGCAGCTGCTGCTGCTGACGCAACTGCAGCAGAAGCGCACAGAGGCCGGGACTCAACGCTGCAGCAAACAGAAGCAGCAGCAGCAGCAGCAGCAGCAGCAGCAGCAGCAGAAGAAGAACAGGCGAATGGCAGCGAAGCGCTGGGAAGCTTGTGCGGCTCTGTGGAGGACTTGGCGAAGGCGCTGAAGGCCTTTGAAGTGCGGCTTTAAAGAATAAGACTTTGGCTTTGAAGCAGCAAATTAAAATGCAAATTTGAATTTCTGAATTGCAACAAAAGTCTCCAAAAGGCGCTGTTTGCGAATTTGAATTTGAACACAAGTGCTGCTGTTTGGCATTTGAATGCTTCTTTGAAGTGAGCTTTACAGGGAGAAGTTGGCATTTAATTAATTAATTCTTTTATTGTTTTCTTTTATTTCTTTTGCTGCTGCTCATCAGGAAATCGAAAACGACTTCAAGTCCGCGGGATTCATGGGCCTCTGCTAGCCGCAAGGCCAAAACGCCGAGGAAGCAAAAAGCGAAAAGCCCTTATCCACTGCAGCAGCAGCAGCTGCAGCAGCAGCAGCAGCTGCTGCTGCTGCAGCAGCAGCAGCAGCAGCAAAAGCAGCAGCAAGCTGAGGAGGCTGTCTTTTTCGCGTTGCTTCTGACATTTGCGTCTTCTGTTTGCAGCAAATCAGTGCATGCTCTTCTGGGCTTTTCAAGTTGTTGTTTGTTTGGTTTAGACTTCTCTTTTTCATTTGCTTTTTGTATTTTCTTTTTATTTTCTTTTTCTATTTTCTTCTTTTATTTTCTTCTTTTCCATTTTTGGACTCAACTCACAAGACGCGCAGTCTGGCCTTTTTAAATATGCTGACTTCTCTCTGGCCTTTTGAAGCTTTAGAAACAGCCTGCATGTTTAGTGATAAGTGAACAGCAGCAGCAGCTGCAGCAGCAGCAGCAGCAGCAGCAGCAGCAGCAGCAGCAACTGCAGCAAGAGGGGAGAGTACGGTTCACATTTTTTTCTCGCTGTTTTCGGGCCTGCTGGGGAGGTGGCCATTTGCCTTGCTGCTGCAGCGCAGCAGTGCTGCTGCATGTGGCTTCTGCTGCTGCTGCTAGCACTTTTTGTCTTCTGCTGCTGCTGCAGCTGCTAACACCTTTTGTCTCCTGCTGCTGCTGCTGCAGCTGCTAGCACTCTTGTCTCCTGCTGCTGCTGCTGCAGCTGCTAGCACTTTTGTCTTCTGCTGCTGCTGCAGCTGCTAGCGCTTTTGTCTTCTGCTGCTGCTGCAGCTGCTAACACTTGTTGTCTTCTGCTGCTGCCGCAGCTGCTAACACTTTCTGTCTCCTCCTGCTGCTGCCGCAGCTGCTAACACTTTTGTCTTCTGCTGCTGCTGCAGCTGCTAACACTTTCTGTCTTCTGCTGCTGCTGCAGTTGCTAACACTGTCTTCTGCTGCTGCTGCAGCTGCAAACACTTTTTGTCTCCTGCTGCTGCTGCAGCTGCTAACAATTTCTGCCTCCTGCTGCTGCTGCAGCAGCATGCGCCTGCTGCTCTTTTTGGCTGCCGCAGCTGCATTTGCAGTGTACATACACCGTACGTAAGCCCGCAAGAACAATAAAAGGAATATTATTTTAATGGCAATATATCACAATATATATTTTCAATATATATTTTATAAACTCTGTTTGCAAATATTGCAACTTGTGAAAGAATATTAATATTACTGTGTCACTGTATATATTTTATTGGCTTATATTGCAACTTGCTGCTGCAAATGCATGCGCGCAGCAGCAGCAGCAGCAGCAGCAGCAGCAAAGTGAACTTAGAAAAGTGTTTTGTCTTTTGCTGCTGCTGCTGCTGGTCCTAAATCTGCCTCTGCGGTGTACGTACACTGGAGACTGGCACTGACGCAGCGGAAGTCCCAAAAGAAAAAAATTAAATTCGTTTTCAGTTTTCTTTTTTCTTCGCCTTTCTTGGCGACGAACAACAAATGAAGACTCAGTTAATTAATTAATTTAATTAATTTAATTAATTAAATTAATTAAATTAATTAAATTAATTAATTAATTGGTGGAGTGCAGCTGCTGCATGTTTTACCTGCTGGACCTGCAAAGCGGAGAAGAACTTTTGCGGCGAAAGCCGTGGGGGTCTTCATGAAATTTCAGGAATGGAATTTTGCATTTATTTGAATAATTTAAAGAGTTTATATTTCCAGTTTGCATTTAATTGAAGAATTTAAGGAGTTTTGATGTTTAATTTGGCATTATTTGAGGAATTTAAAGAGTTTTGAAGATTAATTTAGCATTTAATTGGAGAATTTGGAAGTTTTAGGACCTGAATTTGGAATTAAATTGAAGATTTTGGTGCATTTAGAGGCTGCATTTGGCACAAATTTGAAGAACTTGAGGGTTTTAAATGCCAAATTTTGCACAAAATTGAATAATTTGATGCAAATGGAACCTGAATTTGGCATTTAATTGAAGAGTTTGATGCAAATGGAACCTGAATTTGGCATTTAATTGAAGAGTTTGATGCATTTAGAACCTGAATTTGGGATTAAATTGAAGAATTTGATGCATTTAGAACCTGAATTTGGCATTTAATTGAAGAATTTGATGCACTTGGGACCTGAATTTGGGATTAAATTGAAGAATTTAATGCACTTAGGACCTGAATTTGGGAAATAATTGAAGACTTTGCTGCAATTAGAACTTCCATTTGGATAAAATTGAAGCCTTTGCTGCAATTAGAACTTGAACTTGGATAAAATTGAAGACTTTGCTGCATTTAGAAGTTGAATTTGGATAAAATTGAAGACTTTGCTGCATTTAGAAGTTGAATTTGAATAAAATTGAAGACTTTGCTGCATTTAGAAGTTGAATTTGGGATTGAATTGAAGACTCCGCCGCACTCGAAGTTGCCCTTGGGACAAAATTGAAGAAGTCGCTGCAATTCGAAGTTGAATTTGGAGTTAAGGTGAAGAAAGTGATGCAGTTAGAAGTTGAATTTGGGATAAAATTGAAGAATTCGAAGCAATTTGAAGATAAATTTGAATAAAATTGAAGAATTCGAAGCAATTTGAAGATAAATTTGAATAAAATTGAAGACTTTGCAGCAATTCGAAGATAAATTTGAATAAAATTGAAGACTTTGCAGCAATTTGGAGATAAATTTGAAATAAATTGAAGACTTAGCAGCAATTTGGAGATAAATTTGAAATAAGTTGAAGACTTAGCAGCAATTCGAAGTTGGTTTTGCTGCAGAAGTGCAGCAGCAGCTGCAGCGGCTCAGTTGAGGGGCTGCTGCGGGGCGCCGCGGAGTTCGGGCGGAATTGTTTTGTTGAGGAAAGTTTGAAAGGCCATTTGGCCGATGGCGTTGCGGGGGCTGAGGAGCTGCTGCTGCTGCTGCTGCTGCTGCTGCTGCTGCTGCTGCTGCTGCGGGCTGGCGAGGGGCAGCAGGCAGGCGAGCAGCAGCAGCAAGAAGAAGGCCTGCATTTTAGCAGCAGCAGCAGCAGCAGCAGCAGCAGCGGGGAAGGAGGGGCGGGCTTTTGGGCGTTTTGGGGAGAAAGGCAAATGCTAGTGAGAGCCTCGGGAGGGCCAGAAGGCGGAGAGCAGCAGCAGCAGCAGCAGCAGCAGCACGGCGCAGGCAGCAGCGCGCAGCAGCAGCAGCAGCAGCAGCAGCTCTTATAGGCAGATAGGCGCCTGGCTTTCGCTGCTGCAGCAAACGCCGAAGCTGCGCTCCGAAGCCCCGACTCCTCCCATATGACTTTATTTGTCTTTATTTGTCTTTTTTCAAAAACTAAATCCGAAAAGTCTAAAGAGCTGCGGCGAAGAAAGCCGCAACTGCTGCCTCTGCGGAAGGCGACGCCGAGCACCGCTCAGGGCTCCCAGTTCGATGTTCTCCGCGGATTCGCCGCTGTTTTGGCCACTTTCAAAGTCCTTTAAGTCCAAATCATTTAATTATTTGCATTTATTTGCTTATTTGAACTTCAAACCCCAGAAAACGGCGTGTTCAGGCCGTTGCTCTTGTGGGGCGCGCGAAGTGACCTCCGGGGCCGGGGAGCCTTAGCCTCGCACGAGTCCAGTCCGCGGGACTCTTCGAAATGGACTTTAAATTAATAAAAACAGTTTTTAAATAATAGCGCTTTTTTGCTTGCAGTTTTGCAAAAGAAATTCCATTTCCAGTTCAGCTCGTGCGGCGTTCGCGGCGCTGCCGCCGCTGTACGTACACCCGAGGCAGCGACGCAAACTCGAACAGCGCTTTCGCCTCCAAACACTTTTCCATTTCCGAAACTTTTTCCCGAATTGGCATTTTCCTCCAAAGCAATTGCTTTGCGGAGTGTTTGACCCTGTAATCGCACGAGAAAGTCTTGAATTCAAAAAGTTGCAAAGAGGAATCCGCACAGTTTGAAAAAGAGGGAAAGCTGACTCCAATTCAAAATGCCAACTGCTGCGCCTCACCGCTACACCGTGTCAGTGCCCGGCCCTCCTTTGGACTTTTCTTTTCGCAACTTGAGCAGCTTGTCGGACTTGAACATCGACGGCAGCGCGAGGCCGGAAGCAGCAGACGCTGCGCTGCAGCAGCAGCAGCAGCAGCAGCAGCAGCAGCAAGCGGGGGGCGCCCTCTCTGCGGGGTCCGCGTTGCTGCTGGAGCCGGCGGACGCCGCGTCGCCGCCGTCGGCCGCTGCAGCAGCGGCGGCCGCAGCAGCAGCAGCAACAGCAACAACAGCAGCAGCAGCAGCAGCAGCAGCAGCAGGCGGGAGAGCCCGCAGGTCGGTCTCGAACTCGCCAGTTGTGCGCAAGTCCGTTTGCCTCACGCGCAGCGACCGAGTGGTGTCAGTTTGCTGCTTCGGGCTGAAGAGCAGCAAAGAAGCAGCAGCAGCAGCAGCAGCAGAGAAGAGCAGCAGCAAGCAGCAGCAAAAGGTGCTGGTGCAGCGACACACAACAGCAGTGCGCCTCAACAACAACTTGCTGCAGGAGGCGCCGGGGCTGGGCCTGCTGCTGCGCGGGCTGCTGCAGCAGCCGCAGCAGCAGCTGCTGCAGCAGCCGCAGCAGCAGCTGCAGCAGCAGCTGCAGCAGCAGCTGCTGTGGCTGGACTTGTCCTTCAACCGCTTCCAAGCCATTCCTGCTGCTGTTGCGCAGCTGCATGCGCTCGTCTGTCTGTACATACACTCCAACCAAGTCCTCCAGGGCTCTTCTCTTTTCTTTTTGCAACAAAATAAATCTCTCAAGTTCTTCACTCTCATGGCCAACCCCGTCGAGCTCCTCCTCGGCAAACAATACAGGTCTCTTTGCTGCACTTTGCTGCTCTTTGCCGCACTTTGCTGCTGCTTGCTGCACTTTGCTGCACTTTGCTGCTGTTTGCTGCACTTTGCTGCACTTTGCTGCTCTTTGCTGCACTTTGCTGCTCTTTGCTGCTCTTTGCTGCACTTTGCTGCACTTTGCTGCTGTTTGCTGCTGCTTGCTGCTGTTTGCTGCACTTTGCTGCTGTTTGCTGCACTTTGCTGCTCTTTGCTGCACTTTGCTGCACTTTGCTGCTGTTAGCTGCACTTTGCTGCTCTTTGCTGCACTTTGCTGCTGTTTGCTGCACTTTGCTGCTGTTTGCTGCTGTTTGCTGCACTTTGCTGCTGTTTGCTGCACTTTGGTGCTCTTTGCTGCACTTTGCTGCTGTTTGCTGCTGTTTGCTGCTGCTTGCTGCTACTTGCTGCTGCTTGCTGCTGCTTGCTGCTGCTTGCTGCTGCCATTGATTCCTCTTTGCTGCTGGAGTTGCTTTAAAAATGGGCGTCCCGTTTTTCGGGTGTACGTACACCGCAGATGGCCGGGGCGTTTGCCCGATTTGCGTCTCTTAAATAAATGATCATTTTTTGTTTTATTTCTTTTAAAGAAATGAAATATTAAAACAAAATACTTTTATTAAATTAAAAAGTATTTTATTTCTTTTCTCAATTCTTTTTTGCTTCTGATTTTACTTCCCGGCCCTTCCTCGCCTCTTCGCATTTTGTTGATAACTTCTTTAAATTAATATTTCATTTGTTTGCACTTTGAAGTTCATTTATTTGTATTTGATATTCTATTTATTATTTATTATTTATTTATTTATTTATTTATTTATTTATTAATTTATTTATTTACTTATTTATTTATAACTGCTGCCGCCAAGAACGAGAAACTGCTTTGTTGAGATCGCGTTTTGTGGTGTACGTACACCCCGGCAGTGCGAATTTTGTGCAGCGGAGAGTTTGAATTCTTTTGTGGAATTGTTTTATTTTATTTTGTGGAATTGTTTTATTTTATTCTTTTTAGAATGCAATTATTGTTTTATTTTGTTATTTCATTTCTAAATTGTCAATTCTTTTTTATTTTCATGCACTTGCCCTCAAGTTCAACCATTCGAAGGCTCTCCAGTCAAGTTTCAGAATGCTTTCTCCCTCATTAATCAATCCAATAAATAAATAAATAAATAAATAAATAAATAAATAAATAAATAAATAAATAAATGATTTGCAAATGCATCTTTCAATTAATTGATTTAATAAATAAATGAGTGAAGAAACAATTCAAAATGCATCTTTAATTCAGGTGTACAGGCAGCTAAAGGCCCCACAGAAAGACCACTCCCAAACAAACAGCTGCCCACTTTGCATGCATTAATAAAAAGTAAAATAAATAAATAAATGTACAAACATGCATTTAATTGCGCATTTATCGACAAACACAGACCTAGAAGTTGGCAAGAAGCAGTTTGAAACGCCTCAGAAGCCTCCGCTGCTGCTGCTGCTGCTGCTGCTGCTGCTGCTGCTGCTGCTGCTGCTGCATGCGTGGCTCGCAGGCTGACAGTGTTGGCCGCTTTGCCTTCCCTCAAAGCCCTCGACTTTTCGCCTTTTTCTCCGGACGAGCGCAGCGCCGCCTCCCGCCTTAACCCCGAGTTGATTATCAAGCGAGCTGCCAAGCAGCAGCAGCAGCAGCAGCAGCAGCAGCAGCACCTGCAGCAGCAGCAGCAGCACCTGCAGCAGCGCAAGGAGCGCCAGTAGCCTCAGCTGCAGCAGCAGCGCCACCGCACTCGAAAGGCAGCGTTTAGACGCAGCAAGACCAGCAGCAGCAGCAGCAGCAGCAGCAGCAGCAGCAGCAGCAGCAGCAGCAGCAGCAGCAAATAAGACTAAGGGTCGATGCGTCTGCGGGGAGAAAAAGGAAAGAAGAAGAGACGGGAGAAAATAAAAAAGAAAAACTTGTTTTGTCTTTTGCTGCTGCCCCTGTACGTACACCGGGGAAGCGACGGACACGCGCTGTGTCTGTCTTTTCTTTTCATTTATTTTATTTCTTTTTTTTCACTTTTCTTTCTTTTGTCTTTTGCAAACAAAGAAAGAAACAAACGGCACTTTGTCTCGGCTCAACAAACAAATCCGGCCACGCCTCCTGCTGCTGCTGCTGCAGTGCTGCTGTCTGTAGCTGCTGCAGCAGCAGCTGCTGCTGCGGCTGTGGCTCCACACTAATGACAATCTTAGGCTTTCCTCTCAACGACATTCGCACCTTGATGTTGCTGCTGCCGTCATCGCTGCTGCTGCTGTTGCTGCTGCTGCTGCTGCTGGCCTGCTGCTCCTCTAGTGAGGCCTCTTCTGCTGTCTCTCAACAAATGCAGATGTCTTTGAACTTGTTTAAATTTGTCTTTCTTTCATCAATCCCGCAACTCTACCTATAATGCATTTAATTATTTATTTTTTATTTTTTATTTATTTGTTTTTTATTTATTTTATTTCTTTCCTTCCAACACTCAAATCATTGCCATAAACTTCTGCAAAGACTCCAGCTGCTTCTCCCAAGACTCTCTTTCTTCCTTTGTCTTGAAGCTGCAGCAAAACAAATAAAATAAAACTAATTAATTAATTAATTAATTAATTAATTAATTAATTAATTAATTAATTAAGTAATTAATTAATTAGTTACTGAGACTATTATGACTTAAATGTTGCCTGGGGAGTTAATTGAATTAAAAAAGAAAAAGAAATTAAAAGCATTAAATGAATTGCAAACATTTGCGAAAACAAAATTAAAAACATTTCAACAAAAAAAGATGCAGAAGCAGCGCCACCAAATCTGCAAAACAACTTCAAAACGAATCAATTTATTTATTTATTTATTTATTTTATTTATTTATTTTATTTATTTTATTTATTTATTTATTTATTTAATTTGTTTTATTTATTATTTGAATTAATTGTTTCAAATTAATTCAAAACCCACGTGAAGGAGAAAGTCGTCGGCGAAGGATTGTTCACGTTGATGGTCAACCCCTTCGGGTTGTCTTGCTGCGCCTTGACAGAAGTGATCTGCAGCAGCAAAAAGGAATTTAAATTTGTTTTTAATTTAAATAAATACATTTTAATTTAATTAATTAAAATAAATAAAAGAAAGATCCAAAAATGCCGATTCAAAAGTCCTTTTCTTGAATGCACTTGCATGCGCGATCTGGTGCATGCAAGGCTGGATCCAAAGCAGTGCAACAGCAGCAAACAATAAACCCCAAACCCCAAACCCTAAACCCTAAACCCTAAACCCTAAACCCTAAACCCTAAACCCTAAACCCTAGTTGCCTATTCCTGGTTACAGCGTTGCAAAGAAAGGGTTTGAGCAGTCCCTCCCGCCCCTCTCCGCGGCCTTCCCGCGCCCTCATGCACGCCCAAAGTGCAAACATTAGGGTTTAGGGTTTAGGGTTTAGGGTTTAGGGTTTACTTTTTCCACGGGCAAAGAGCCCACGGCCTTGCCCTTGCCGCCCTCGCCGGAGTGCCCCTTGTACCCCTCCCCTCTACCTCTACTCGTGCACCTCCCAAACTAGGGTTTAGGGTTTAGGGTTTAGGGTTTAGGGTTTAGGGTTTACTTTTTCCACAGGCAAAGACCCCACGGCCTTGCCCTTGCCGCCCTCGCCAGAGTGCCCCTTGTACCACTCGACCTCCTTGCCGTCTCGCGAGCAAGTCACTTTGACGGTGGCGTTGAACAAATGCGTTTTCAACTTCACGATTTTCGTCAGAGACCGCCGGTAGGCCAGCAGCTTCTTTTGACGCACGTCGCTCGTCGTTAGCTGCGAGCCAGCAGTCAAAGACTGTTAATGGCAGAATGGCAAACTGTTAATGGCAGACTGTTAATGGCAGAATGGCAAACTGTTAATGGCAGACTGTTAATGGCAGACTGTTAATGGCAGAATGGCAGACTGTTAAGGGCAGAATGGCAGACTGTTAAGGGCAGGTAATGGCTGTTAATGGCAGAATGGCAGACTGTTAAGGGCAGGAATGGCTGTTAATGGCAGAATGGCAGACTGTTAATGGCATGGAATGGCTGTTAATGGCAGAATGGCAGACTGTTAAGGGCAGGAATGGCAGACTGTTAAGGGAAGGAACGGCAGCCTGTTAAGGGCAGGAGTGGCAGACTGTTAATGGCAGAATGGCAGACTGTTAATGGCAGAATGGCAGGCTGTTAATGGCAGGAATGGCAGACTGTTAATGGCATGCGGGCACTGTTAATGGCAGGAATGGCAGGAGTGGCATAAAATGGGTGTAACTGGCATTTCAAAGACTGTAAATGGCACGTTATTGCTGTTAATGGCAATAATGGCAGGAGTGGCACTAAAATGGCTGTAAGTGGCATTGAAAGCCTCTAAATGGCACGTTATTGCTGTTAATGGCAGGAATGGCATTAAAGTGCGTGTAAGTTGCATTTAAAAGCCTCTAAATGGCCTGTTAATGCTGTTAATGGCAGAATGGCAGAATGGCAGCATTTAAGAGCCTCTAAATAGTCTGTTAATGCTATTAATGGCAGGAATGGCAAGAATGGCAGCATTTAAAAGCCTCTAAATGGCCTGTTAATGCTATTAATGCTATTAATGGCAGAATGGCAGCATTTTAAAGACTGTTAATGGCCTGTTAAAGCTGTTAATGGCAGAATGGCAGAATGGCAGCATTTAAAAGCCTCTAAATGGCCTGTTAATGCTGTTAATGGCAAGAATGGCAGCATTTAAAAGCCTCTAAATGGCCTGTTAATGGCATGTTAATGCTATTAATGCTATTAATGGCATAATGGCATTTTAAACACTGTTAATGGCATGTTAAAGCTGTTAATGGCAGAATGGCAGAATGGCAGCATTTAAAAGCCTCTAAATTGCCTGTTAATGCTGTTAATGGCAGAATGGCAGCATTTAAAAGCCTCTAAATGGTCTGTTAATGCTGTTAAAGCTGTTAATGGCAAGAATGGCAGAATGGCAGCATTTTAAAGACTGTTAATGGCATGCTAAAGCTGTTAATGGCAGAATGGCAGAATGGCAAGTGGGGCGTTCTCGCCTCTTCCTCGTCGGTGTCGTCGAAGTCGTCTTCTTCGTCGTAACTGCTGACTTCGGTGTCTGCGGACTTGGCGGCGTTGCTGCTGTAAGTTTGGCGGCGTCTGCTGCTTCTTTCCACGGGCGAAGTGGCCTGCAGCAGCTCCAATTAACTCATTTAAATGCATTTGGCGGCTTTTTTTGGACTTAATGGAATTAATTTGAAGTAATTTAATTTAATTTAATTTAATTTAATTTAATTTAATTGATTTGTTTAATTATTTGCGCTTTTTCGGACTTTTTGGAGTCGTTTGAGCTGCCTAAGTCGCTGGGGAAGTGAATGCGAAATTCGGTGAAGGCAAAAAGAAGAAATGCATTTGGAAATAAATTCAAAATAATAAATGTCAATAAATACATCAATTGGTTTGAAATATATTCTTCTATTTAATGGCACTTTTAAATCGCATTTTTGCTGCCTTTAATGCCACTTTAAAATGCATTTTTGCCGCTTAAATGGCACTTTAAAACCCCATTTTGCTGCTTAATGGCATTCTAAAATAACTTTTTTGCTGCTTAAATGGCATTCTTAAAATCGCTTTTTTGCTGCTTAAATGGCATTCTTAAAACAACTTTTTTGCTGCTTAAATGGCATTTTAAAAATAACTTTTTTGCTGCTTTTAATGGCACTTCAATCTGCATTTTTGCAGCTTAAAAGGCACTCAAAAGTCGCATTTTTGCTGCACAAAAGGGCCTCCAGAATTGCTGCTGAAAAGACATTCTTGAAGCAGCACAAAGTGGAAATAAAAGTGCACAAACTCTACCTTCGGCACGGGGGCCTTCTTTGCTGCTGCGCCGTTCGCAGCAGCAGCAGCAGCAGCAGCAGCAGTTGTGGGGACGGCAAAGACGGAGGGGCTTTTGGGGTTTTCTGCATTTCTCTTTTTGGGGGCAAAGAGGGCGCCGTCGGGGGCCCTTTTGCCCCACCTTTCGAAGCAGCTCATCGAATTGCCCATTCTCGGGCTCTTTGGGCCTCAAAAACCCCTTTTTGAATCCCAATTGAGACGCAAAACCTCAAAAACTCCTTTCCACTTGCAAAGAGCGATTCGAAACATCCAAAAATCCCTTTTTTACTCCAAAATTCGACGAAGTTTCAGGCCGTTCCGCAGCGCCAGCAGCGGAATCCCAGCTGACGCTGCTGCTGCTGCTGCTGCTGCTGCGGACCGGGACCTCCTCGAGCGCCAAAAACGCAAATTAAAAGCCCTTTTGAATAATAATTGAATTTTTAAAGAGAAAATGGAGAAAAAGATCAAGTTTCCCGCGGTTTCGGCGCGCCGGGCGGTGTGCCTCGAGGCCAGAGCCCAGCCGCGCGCTGAACGGCGCCGCCGCGGAAAATGGAGCACTTTCTCTGGGAAAATGCCCACTCGGAACTTTTTAAAACTTTTAACTTACTTTTAAACTCCAAATTAATTCAAAATCTCCGCGAAATGCCCCCGAAGCTGCAGAAATCGCCACATGCCGCGGCAAAGCCAGAGGCTCACATCGGCTGGCGCCAGCCACTGCGGAACGGGAAACTCAGGTCCAAGGAAGCGAATTCGGCCGCCACTTTCCCCTTTTCCACTTTGCAAACAATTCAATTTATTATTTAATTCAATTTATTTGTTTAAATGAAGAACAGAAGTGCCTCAGCCCGCTGCCGCGTCGCCGGAAAGCCAGTGTGTTCGCAGCAGACTGTCTAGACACCCGGCGCTGCTTCGGGTGCAGATCCGAAGTTTCTGCAGCGCAGTTTTGCATTTAATTTATTTTGTTTTCTTTTAATTTTATTAAAAAAGAAAACTCTCCTTAATTGCATTTACGCGGACTCGCTGCGCCCCGAGCCCCGCTGCTGCACACAGCCGAGTGGTTCTTGCTTCGGTTGCACCAGTGGCCAAGTCCGCTGGAGAATTCGTTCAAAACAAATAAATTAAACTTTTAAAATTATTAAAAAAAACTAATTTAAAACAAATTAATTAAACATTTAAAAGTTATTTCCAAATTAATTCATTGCAGCAATTCTCTGATCATCTGGAAGTGCCATGAGTGCCTTTCAGTTCTCTTGCTTCTTTCCCTGCTGCTGCTGCTGCTCTGCTGCTGCTGCTCTCTGCTGCTCTCTGCTGCTGCTGTTGCGCTCTGCTGCTGCTGCTGCCTGCTGCTGCGGCTCTCCGCTGGTGCTACTCTCTGCTGCTGCTGCTCTAGCAGCCAACTTCAGGCTAGTAGCAGCAGCTAGCTGCAAGCAGCAGCAGCCAGCTGCAAGCAGCAGCAGCCAGCTGCAAGCCGCAGAAGCTAGCCGCAAGCAGCAGCAGCAGCCAGCTGCAAGCAGCAGCAGCAGCCAGCTGCAAGCAGCAGCAGCCAGCTGCAAGCAGCAGCAGCTAGCTGCAAGCAGCAGCGGCAGCCAGCTGCAAGCAGCAGCAGCTAGCTGCAAGCAACAACAGCTAGCTGCAAGCAGAAACAGCTAGCTGCAAGCAACAGCAGCTAGCTGCAAGCAGCAACAGCTAGCTGCAAGCAGCAACAGCTAGCTACAAGCAGCAGCAGCTAGCTGCAAGCAGCAGCAGCTAGCCATCCCCAGCAGCTAGGCAGCAGCTGCAGCTAGCCCAGCTAGCCACTATCAGCAGCTAGCTGCCGCCAGCAGCTAGCCACCAGCTAAGAGCTCCAGCAAAGCCTCACTGCAGCCCCTGCCTTCGCTGCCTTAGCTGCTGCTGCTGCTGCTGCAGCTGCTGTTGCTGCTGCAGCAGCAGCTGCTGCTGCTGCTGCATTTCCTGGTGACCCCCATTACGCAGCAGAAGCAAAGAACTGCCTCTTAACACCTCTTTGAGCAGCAATTAAGGAGAAGAGAAAGATAAATGAAGTATTGTCTGAAAATAAATGCAAAATTGCGTTTATAAATTATTTAAATGAAAAGAAATGACTTTCTCGAAGCCGCGCGAACCGGCGGACGGGGTGTACGTACACCGCAGCGCCCGCGCAAAGTGCAGACAGCGAGACACCCGAAGAAGTGGAATTGATTATTTTTAATTTTAAAATAATGTTTAATTCTATTTATAATTCTATTTTATTTATTTAAATGCATTAAATGCATTTAAAAGACTAAACCCTAAACCCTAATCTTTTGGGCTGTGTCTTTAGTTCTTTGTGCTTTTGTAGCAGCAGCAGCAGCCCAGACGCCCAGCCCCAAACCCTAAACCCTAAACCCTAAACCCTAAACCCTAAACCCTAAAACTGTGCTGTTTATGGCCTTGGGCAAGTTTTTAAAAATTTGTTTCTTCCCTCTTCGGGGGAGCAGCAAGCAGCAGGAGCCAGAAAAGAGAAAAATGAAAAAAAGGAAAAAAAGAAAAAAGAAAAAAAGAAAAATAGAAAAATAAAAATAAAATTTGGAGAAATAAACCAAAAAAGGAGACAAAAGAATCGACGAGACAAAAGACCAAAAAGAAACCTTCGCGTAAAAAGACAAAAAGATAAAAAGATTAAAAAGATGAAAAAGAGAAAAGGCAAAAAGATATTAAAAAATAAAAAGATAAAGAGGAGAGACAAAAGATAAAAAGATAAAAAGATAAACAAGAGCAGGAAAAGCATCCGCCAAGAATGAAGTAAAAACAAAAGAAATAAATAAGAAAATAAGAAATAAAAGAGAAATAAAAAAGGAAAATAAAAAAAGAAATAAAAAGGAAAAAAAGGAAAAGAAAATGAAAACTTAAGACAGCTGCTGCTGCGCCGCCGATAAATTTTGCTGCCGCGGACCAGTCGGAAACAAACGTGCTGCTGCTGCTGCTGCTGCTGCTGCTGCTGCTGTTGCTGCTGCTGCTGCTGCTACAGAGTTGCTGCCTTTGCGGCAGCAGCGCAGCAGCTCGCTGCTGCGGGACTAAAAAGGAGACAATTAAGAAAAAGAAATAAAATGAAAAAGAATTGACGGAGCAGAGGCTCCTGTCTCCCTCTGAGGTGTACAGACACCTCAACGCTTCGCACCCTTCCTGCAGCAACACAAGAAAACTCAGAAATTAAAAAAAGAAATAAATAAAAACCAAACTGAAAGACACAAAGGAAGCAACAACACTGCAAAGGGACACTTTCTTCATAGGAGACAGCAAATGCAGCAGCAGCAGCAGCAAATGCAGCAGCAGCAGCATATGCAGCAGCAGCAAAGGCAGCAGGAGCAAAGCGACAGCAGTACACGGAGCAGCATTAGAAAGAGCAATAGCAGCAGCAAATGCAGCAGTAGCAGCAAATGCAGCAGCAGCAGCAGCAAATGCAGCAGCAGCAGCAAATGCAGCAGCAGCAGCAAGCGCCATTGCAACAGCAGCTAGGAGAGCAGAGCCGCACGCAAAGAAGCAAAAAGGACCCGCAGCAGCAGGGCGCTTCGAAGCAGCAGCAGGCACTCACAAGCCGCTGCCCTTTCTGGCCTGCTGCTGCTGCTGCTGCTGCTGCTGCTGCTGCTTTGCTGCTGCTCTCTCTTTGTTTTTTCGCTCCAAAGAAGCTCTTATTCGCGTGGCGCAAAAGTAACAAAACCAATCTTCGTCAGCTGGCGGCGGGTGCTCGTCCGTGTAGCCAGAACACAGCCAATGGTACCACTGCAGGCAGCCTGCAGCAGCAGCAGCAGCAGCAGCAGCAGCAGCAGCAGCAGCAGTGAGTGCAGCAGCAGGGCAGGGGGAACCAGAGGGGTCTTAGGCTTCTACTCTGTTAGATTCCGCCACAAGTTTAGACACAACAACTGAAACAAAATAAATGAAAAAAAAAGAAATAAAACAAATAAAGTAAATACAATGAAGTAAATTAATAAGATAAAAACAATTCGCAACAAATACAGAAAATGGACAGCTGTGCAGATTCGCTCATTCCAGTTCAAACTCAAGTGGGGCTTTAACTGCATTTATTAAGTTGAAAAATCCATTTTAAAACAAACAGTTCAAATTGAATAAAACACTTCCAATTGAATCAAACAATCCAAATTAAACAATTCGGATTCAAGTAAACAATTCAAATTCAACAATTCAAATTCAATTCAACAATTCAAATTCAATTCAACAATTCAAATTCAACAATTCAAATTAAATTCAGAATTCAAATTCAACAATTCAAATTCAATTCAACAATTCAAATTCCAAACTCACAATCGCAGCCAATCCAGTGCAAACCATCTCCGGGGCCCCCCCCAGGAAGTTCTTTATAAAGTCCATTACAAATGGGGCAAAAGACCGGCTTGGGTTCATTGTCCCCTTGCAGGGGGCCCCCCTCTGCGGGGCCCCCGGGGGCCCCCGCGGGGGCCCCC